GGTCATCTTCCGATCCTCTCTGTGACCAAGACTGATCCCCTCACACAATCTCGTGTCTGGCATGGAGCATCCACGACGAGCAGAAGCACCTCACGAGTATCCTCCTCGTAGGGCTGACTATCAATGTCTCCGTATATCACGGAGTCTTCGTGGCCCCAGAAAGACCGCATCCATATTCTCCTGATCTTGCGGAGGAAGTCATCTAGGTTGGGGGCCACGTGCGGGTCCCGGATACTCACGTAGGACCTGGCAGTCTCCACTTTGGACCTGCTTTACCAGTCCAATGAGGAGACCTTGACCCAGCGCTGAGGGTTATAAATACGCTCTCTTTCGAGAAGGTCATGTATTGAACATTTCTCACTCTCTTATTTGCTTGCTCATTTCGAATATCACTTTAGCATCAGAGTGTCTTGCAGGTATCCTATACCTCACTCTCAAATTCAGCTCGACGTAAACTGTAACGGACTATTCTGATCAGATACGATCAAAGATTAAAAACTTGCATGGGAGACTTGAAGATGGAAACTTGAAGATAAAAGTTGGCACAATTTGTTTTTAGTTGAAAATTGTATGCTTCATTTATGATTACAACACTATCTTTTTATTATTAGTATAATTCTCTAAATTAGTGTATAGGATTGGTATATTTAACTGTTATATATATATATATATATATATATATATATATATATATATATATATATATATATATATATATATATATATATATATATATATATATATATATATATATATATATATATGGTGTGATACTATTTTTAGCGTTGTTTTCTTATAATATTTATTTAATTATTTAGTTTCTAATTTTAATTGCATAAGGAATCTGTATAGGAAAAACAAAATTTGACATTGAAGTATATATTAATATGAAGATTAAACGTCGGAATAATAAAAATTTTCAAATAAAATCATTAACAAGATCTATACCAAGAGTCTAAAGTCGTGGATGTAATTAATATTTATACCATCGGCTTAGAATCCATCACTATAGACTATGGTGATGGATAAATTCTGTAGAGCGATTTATATGTCACCAAAAATACTGCCGTAGGTATAAGTGTTTTGGCGATTTACCTACGGTTAATAGATATTTACCTATTTTTTTCCGCTGTCACTAAAAGTTAAATTTCTTGTAATAGATGCATTGTTATTTAATTTATAAACTTTAAATATTCTAAAATAGAAATATTATATTTGTTTAAAAATAATAATATTTCTTCATAAAGGCATTTAAATATAAAATATTCTATTTGTTTTACGGTGGTTCATGAGCTTAATCTACTAAAAGCTCATAAGTATTACTGGATACTTTTAAGATTAAATCTTAGGAACATAATTAGGTCACCTCATTTAGATCAAAGCTCTATAAATTCTTGTGTCATATCTTTTCCCTTACCTCTTAACTTTATGGAAAATTTCTTTCTGCTGCTATTATTTAAGTATTTTTCTTAAAAATGTTTTTAAATTATGAAATTGAAAATAACTATATTTTAAATCATCATTTTTCAAACCCCGAAAATTTACCAAACTCTTGTGTGTGGAGTCACAATTTACTGATATTTTTTGCAAACAATCACGAGTTTGATTCAATTAAGAGATTAAATTCAAAAAATTTCAAAGAAAATTTATGTAGAAAATTAGAACAAAAAGTGTTTGTGACTGGAACTTAGATCTTTGAATGTTAATAAATTGAACATAAACTCTAGTTGAAATAAACTTTTAATAAATATAATAGGAAAATAGCATGATAAATATTATTAAAGTAAATACTTTCATTACAAAAGACATAAAGAAAATAAAAGAGAAGGCGCATAATCATACATTTTCTCACAAATTGTTTCTCTTTGTGATTTGGATACTTTAGTTCTATAGAGAATACTTGATGAATTTCATGACCTTTGATCAGAACAATGAGATCAACTTATATACTAATATAATATTAATCATCAACAATGGATATTGTTAAAACAAAATTGGTTTATACCATATCCCTTGGGTTTTAATGATAATAAAGTATTTGAAGAATAATTGGGTAGACTAATATGTGTTTAAGTGTACAGGTACAAAGATCAATATACTGATTGAAAGTCAGTTCTTAAACTGCAATGAACATTGAAAGAGAAGCTTTCTTAGAGGCAAATTCTGAAGATCAAATTCTGAAGATGATTAGAATTTGATGTCTCTAGACTCTAAACAAGCCAACCTCTAAAGAGTTAGAGTTTGAAGGATCAGAAGCCAAGATTCAGACTCTGAAGGACTAAAACCTGAACCTAGTCAAAGCTCAAGAGTTGAGGAAGTCCCGACACACCATTATAAAATATTTGATCATTTTATCATGTTCTAGTCACGTGATAAGTCAACATAAAATTGTAGAAGGCTAAATGTTTGCAAATGATAATTCCTTTTGTAGCAAAGGAAGTTCAAATGAGGTTGCAATAGCATTATCCATTTGAGGAAGCCTTAAAACATATTTGTTGATGCTTCTCTATAACATCTCAATTATGCTTGAAGATCTATCCAACGGCACTTTCATGGAACTCTATAAAAGAAGCTAAAGATTTGGATAAAAGCCCAAAACTGCACCTTGACAAGAAAAAGTGAAGTTACTACTATGTCAAAACAAATAGCACAATTTAACTTAGAACTTCTTACCATAGTACATTCTGAGTGATGATGTTTATTTGAATTATTTCGTAAATTATGTGAATAATACATGTGAGGTTAGAAGGATGTTACAACCAACATTGTGCATGTTATCATCTTTGCATGCTGACTTATTTGAAGAGCTAACCCTTTGCTAAATTATGGCGAAAAAGGGGAGTAATAAGGAGAAGTTATGCATTTTCTATGTGCAGGTAAATCTGGTGATTATTTAGGAAAGACTGTTCAAAAAATACTAATGATGTTCTCTATGTTGGAGCATCGTGCAGGACATCTGGCCCTTGTATCTGCGAAAAAGATCATAAAGTTAGTTTACTTGTGTTAGTAGATTTTTCATATCCTGATCTTTAACTACTAACTCTTTGTGTTGTGCATGACTAAGTTTATGAATAACTACATACTAATGATTGCTGGTTAGTAGGATTGTATGCTACTAACTATGAGCTAACTAGGTACATTCATGACTAATTATGTGAATGATTGTATGTTAGAATGTCTGTTTGGTTTGGAGCAGCTGAATGGATTATGTGTAAGCATCTAATCTTGATTCTACTGACTTCTGCTGCTGCTACTATACTTAACACTGATATATGGAAGATTGATGCTATAGTTGACTAAATGCTCTGGTGAAGACCAGTGTTGCTACTGGTGGATGAAGGCCAATGATTCTAATGGTTGTCACTGGTTCTAGTATGAACAATGTGCCATGGCTATAAGATTTGAACAAAGTGCTTTATCTTGAAAAGTATTTTGCCACAATTTTCTAAAGGGGGATTGGAGTTCTTTGTGAAATGGTCCTTTGAATTGGTTGCATTTCTGCAAAACAACAACATGAAGAAAATTTCAAAGTATTCAAGTTGATCTAGTTTGCTAAAGTTATATGAAACTGTGGAATGGACACATGTTGGACACGATTATTCAGTATATGGTACAACATTTGGGCCTTTCTCAAAAGCGTCAAATTGTTGCATTTTGGAAGAAGATCTGCAGAAGACCTGTGAAAGATTTATATTTATTAATTTAATAATATGATTATATAATTTGTTGGACATTTGTGATGATGATCAAATCAAATTTAAAGATATTTAAATTTGAATTTGTAACAAACCAAATCATATCTTTGTGTTAGAGATATTCAAGAAAGAAATCAAATATTCAACTGAATCTGCATTATTTCTGAACAAAATCAAATCAAATATCCATGAAGAAAATCCCAAAAAGAATTGTTATATAAGGTGCACATAACTCACTTTAGAATTCAAGCATTCAAGTATTCACATTAAAGATTTTTAGAGTACTAAATTTGTGTCTTGTATTCCACGACAATGCCCTAATAGGATTAATGTAGAATCTATATATACACTTTTATTGATATAGAAGATTTGTCTAGTTGAGTTGTAAAATTTAACATCATTCATCTTATTGATTTAAGTTGTTCACTTGAGTTTAGTGACTTTAATTTCCTATCACAAATTGTGTGATAGAGAAAGAAAGTGAATGGATTCTCAAATTTAAAAAGAGACTCTAAATAGAAATTCATTATGTTAATGTATTAAGAATTTAAGCCAAAATAAGAATGCATTCATGTATTATTATTTAATTTATAAACTTTAAACATTATTAAATAGAAATATATATTTTCTTTAAAAAATAATATTTCTTCATAATGGCATTTTAATATAAAATATTATGCGAATTAAAAAAACCACACTTAAAGAATAATATTGAGAAATGTTATATTTTATGAGTTAATATTACTTTTATATCTTACCAAATATATGATATATCATAAGAGTATAACTTACCAATAATGTATAATGAGTAAAATAAGGCCAGATATTTTTTAATATAATCTTAATGGACTTCTGTGTAACACCCTATATTTGTATTTATTCAATGTATTCACTTAAAAACATTATTATTTTTTAAAATGGGAAATTTTTTCAAGAGATATTTAATGCGTGATAAACTAGTTACATTGAAAAAACAAATTATCACGGTAATAAGATATTGAATTCCATATAAAAGCATTTTAGTATAAGGAAGTAGTTAGGAATCAATTTTAGTTTTAATGAGTAACGATTTATTTTATTTCTTTAGCAATTATGTTTTATAGGCATGGAATTTTGTCTCATAAAAAACGTATAGGAATTACCAACAATTTTTCAAATCTCCCATAAAATCAAATTCATTGCATCTAATTTTAATGGACTTGTCTACTCCCTGTCTCCCTCTCCCTTTTATTAATAGAGTTCATTTTGACACTAAATTTCATCAGCAAACTTCTATCTTACTCTAAATTTAATTTACTCACGAAAATGTTGTCTACACAAGCTTTGCTCATCCATGGCTTCTTGGTCATGATTGTTTTAATCTCTTCCATGGGGGATGCAAGACAATTGAGTAAGAATTTCTCAATCTTTATAAATTGTTATATCTTCATTTTGCTTTTTAATTTTGTGTCTACCATATTTTTTCCAAGAAAACCATAATAATTTGAGTAATAAGATATCTTCACATTTGTGACTCTAATAGAATTTTTTTTTATCAGGCACTTTTATTGTCTTATTTTATATATAGAAAATTCAAGTAAACATCTCATGCAGCTACAAAGTTGTTGACTGGTGCACAATTATATGTTATCATATGGCCAACTAAAATTGTGTTAATTATTCATAAACGACTAACTCCAATGTAAGTTTGATGATCAATATATGTAAATTTGAGTTATTTTGGTTAATATTTTTGCAGTTGAGATTAAAGATCAAGATGGGACCAACTTTAAATCTTTTATACCTGGCCTTCCAGACATACCTGAACTTCCACCACTATCAAACATTCCAGGCTTTCCAGATTTTCCATGCATCCCAGGAATACCAAGCATCCCAGGTATTCCATGCAACCCAAACATACCATTTCCAGGTTTTCCATGCATCCCAGGCATACCAAGCATCCCAGGTTTTCCATGCAATCCTAATTGGCCAAGTCCACCAAGTACACCTTCTGAATCTCCAAGCACACCTCCTAGTACACCTTCAGAATCTCCAAGCTCACCTCCTAATCCATATGACTCACCTGTTCAATCTCCCAGTTATCCTCCTGAATCCTCCTAGTTCCCATCGGTTAATTTAAATCCTTAAAATTGAAATATTGCAAAAATAATATGGATTGTATCATTTGTAATATTTATTTGAGAAAAAATAACAATAAATTTGATTTAGTTATGAGAATGTATTACAAAAGCTTTTACTCCATTTATGCAAGCATAATATGTGAAATGTTATTTCTTCGTATCATACTTATCAAATAAAATCAAGTCTCGGATCTTTTAATTAAAATAAAAAGTAATAAGATTCTTGTATATTATGATTATAATTGTTATATGTAATTTCATCCTTTAAATAAACCCAATCTTGATAAAGTAATCAGAGTAAAAAAGAGAGGAAGTGTGAAAGCTCGCCTTATCGTATATGAGTGAATAATGTTTTATAAAAACACATGGGTGTTTTAATAAAGTGTCATGGATAAATCACACACTTATACAAACCTTTTTTAAACCTCTATTTCTCAAAGAAAACAAAACCTAAAAATGTTTTTAGAGCCTAGCTAAATGAGTCAGGAGCCGTGAGAATGATTTACACGGGTTTTTTTGAATTGTCTAATCGATTTGAGCATATTTCCAAACAATTGGATAATTTCAAATAGTATCTACAATCGATTGTGACAATGTTTTAATAAATGACAACGAATATCTTTTAAAACCTTCCAAAATAGGCATTTGTAATCGATTGTTTTAGTTCATCCAATCGATTGGTTGTAGGACCCAATTGATTGGGAAATTAAATTCTCCCATGGTTCTTTGAGAAAGTCTTAGTGTTTAAGTGAGGAATTTTTGTTCTATAAAGCATAATTTTGTAAATTTCACCAAGAGCTATTTTTTATTGGTTGAATAATTATTCTTAAGAAAGTGTTTGTTTGGGTTCAAATCTAGACCCGATAAAATCTTGGAATGGAGATTTAGTATTCAGTCATCGATTCATTTTATGAACTAAGCCCATGTAAAATATAACCTTTGTTAGAGATAAGTCTGGTGTAAAATCTCAATTTGGTTCTTGGTCAACCTGTGAAAAACCTCGTTTCAGTTCGTGTTAAGCTCGTGTAAAACCATCACTCCAGTTTGCATGACAACTAGTTAAAAACTACACATTTGTTTAAGATTAATCTATGTAAAATCTCAGAGTTTCAGCTTAGAGACTAAGTAGTTAAAGCTTTGTTCATGTTTAGAAGGAAGAGTAACCACTTCAGTTTGTTGTTCGGGTGGAAGTTAACATGAAAGTTTATTTTCCTTATATACGGTGGTTCATGAGCTTAACCTACTAAAAGCTCATAAGTATTACTGGATATTCTCAAGATCAAAACTTAGGGACATAATTAGGTCACTTAGTTTAGACCGAACTTCTATAAATTTTGGTGTCATCTCTTTTCCCTTATCTCTTAAATTTTGGGATAATTTATTTCCATTGCTATTATTTAAGCACTGTTCTTAAAAATGTTTTTAAACTATGAAACTGAAATTAACTATGTTTTAAACCATCATTTTTCAAACCCCAAAAATTTACCCACCTCTTGTGTATCGAGTCACAGTTTGGTTCACTTAAGAGATTAAACTCAAAAAATTTCAAGGAAAATTTATATAGAAAAATTTAACAAAAAGTGTTTGTGACTGGAACTTATATGTTTGAATGTTGATAAATTGAACATAACTATATTTGGAATAAACTTTGAATGAATATAATAGGAAAATAGCATGATAAATATTATTAAAGTAAATTCTTCGATTACAAAAGATTTAAAGAAAATAAAAAAGAAGGTGCATAATCATACATTTTATCACAAACTGTTTCTCTTTGTGACTTGGATACTTTAGTTCTATAGTGAATACTTGATGAATTTCATGACCTGTGATCACAATAATGAGATCAACTTATATACTAATACAATATTAATCATCGACAATGGGTATTGTTGGAAAAAATTTGCTTTTACCATGTCTCTTAGGTTTTGATGATAACAAAGTATTTGAAGAAAAATTGGGTAGACTAGTGTGTGTTCAAGTGTGCATGTATAAAGATCAATATACTAATCGAAAGTCAATTCTAAAACTACACTAAACATTGAAAGAGAAGCTTTTAGGAAAATTCTGAAGATCAAATTCTGAAGATGATCAGAATCTGATGTCTCAAGACTCTGAACAAGCCAGCCTCTAATGAGTCATAGTTTGAAGGATCAGAAGCCAAGTCTCAGACTCTAAAGGACCAAAACCTGAACCTAGCCAAAGCTCAATAATCGAGGAAGTCCTGACATGTCGTTATAAAATATTTGGTTACTTTGTCATGTTCTAGTCACATGATGAATAAGCAGAAAGTTGCAGAAGGTTTGCAACTGATAATTACTTTTGTAGCAGAGGAAGTTCAAAGGAGGTTGCAATAGCATTTCCCATTTGAGGAAGCCTTACAACAGATTTGTTGATGCTTCTCTACAATGTCTCTATTGTGCTTGAAGATCTATCCAACGAATCTTTCATGTAACTCTATAAAAGAAGCTAAGATTTGGAGATGTTGTACCCCAAAACTTTCCCTCCCATTATTTCTCAATACATGTCAAGTTAGGTCCTCAAATTGCTCAAGGAAATTCAAGAGTTGACCAGACAAACTCTCTCTTAAGGTAGTCTACCTCAAATTAGGGTTTCTATTTTAAGCAGGATATGTGAACCACAAAGGACTCAAATGCTCACCATTGTCCTAATATGTTTGCAAGATCATCCATGTCAAGTTTCAAGCCTTTACATAAGAAGTGTGCTCAGTCAATTGCTCAAATGCTTGAAAATCGACTATGATAGGTCAAAAGTCAATTGTGGCCCACATACAGTCAAACTTCAAGATTTTTGGTCAACATCCTCATTTTGAAGTATTATTCATCATTTGATCAAGGGTTTATCATGATTCCTCAAAGATTGCTCATAATTCATTAAAACCCAAAAGTTGCTAAATTAGGGTTTTGTAGAAAAGGTCAACTCAACTTTGACCAAGCATAACTCTCTCATACTTTATCAGAAATGACCCATCCAAAGCTCATTTTGAAGAGGATGCAATCCCCTACAATTCATCTTCATCTCCCAAGTTCAGAATATGCACTCACAGAAATATATGAATTTTGAAATTATAGGTCATTTTGAAAAGTCAACAAAAACACCTTTTGGGTCAAAGCTTCATACATGAACATGGAAGACTCAATTGAGATGAGATAAAAAGGGTTTCTTAGATAACATCCTAAGATTTCTAAAAAGTCCCAGAACACCTCTCTAGAGTCAAAATTGAGAGAGTTATGCATTGGCCAAGTTGACCTTTTTTGCAAAATTGCCAAAAGTCAAATGTGCTCAAAAACACATTTTTTGTCAAATGAACCTAGTTTTTCATGATTGAATCTTGCTTATGACATGGTCCACGATCCAAATCAGCACCCACACACCTTTTGCTTTATTTATTTATTTTATTTTGATTTTTATCATTTAAAAGTCAAATTAAATCAAATAAATAGCAAAAAAATCAAAGATTTGTTTTGTGATCAGATTTTGGGTGGAATCAAATCCAATTATACTGACAAATCATATCCAAAACATGCAAAACAAATTGAACCAAAATTGGCATGATTTGACTTGATATAGAAAGATATCATACAAGGATAAAGACCAAATCAAATCTTCATAATGGACCAAGATTCAGCTCGTTTTTGTTGACCGAATGTATTTCATTACATATACAAAACATAGCCAAGGCAAGAGAGAGAGGTTAGAGGTCGTGCAGAGCCAAGAACAAAACTAAAAAAATTCAAGAAAAGTGGTGATTCAATTTCCATCCTAGAGGCCAATCCAAGCCCTTTTAACGTTACCAACATACTCCTGGACCTCTCCAGAAGGGATCTCAATCAATTGCAAGCCCTTTCACGCCTGGAATCATAAGTACAGAGGCCACAGTTTGTCCCAAAAGTTTGATTTCGATTTCATTGATTTATGCATCATTAGCACATTTAATTTATATATTCTTGTTCATCATTGAGTTTGCAAGCTATTGGTATCGTTTAATTGCGTTTTCAGTACAGGAATCATGTTACGCCATTGTTAGGACTTTTTGGTTTGTTTTAGGGCTTTGCAGTATAGGCTAAATTGGGCTTGGATTCTGGAACCATAATACTCGTGAGGATGAGACGAGTTGATTGATACCTTTAAATTTCATTTATATTGCTTGTAAAGAATTTTTGAATGGCACAGGTTTGTAGCTACATCAAGGTGTCTGTGGGTAAAAGTTTCGTTGGCTAAAGTGACGGAGAGAGGAAGAAGAAGCTTGCGTGGCAACATGTGACTCACCCATTTGAATTTTCGCGCTTTTTTCTGATTACACCATGTGATTTGATTATATTGTTTATTTCTATTATGTGTACAAACAAACAAATCAGCTCAGCTGGCAGCGTGGTATTGGGAGCGAGCATAAGGACCTGGGTTCGATCCCCAGGTCCCATATTTGTTTCATATTATTTTTCAACAGGTCATCAGGCGCGTTGCATTAGCGTACGTTCACCATATGCCATCAAGATCCAACCATCAAACGCATCTCCAGCCAGATCCAATGCCTTTCCATTGAAGGTCCACCATGTACCCCAAGTCAACCTACGCATCAGATCTGGCAAAGTCAAACAGGCCTTAGCCTTGTTGGGCCCAGAAATTCAGTTTCCACCCCCAGAATTGCTAATGATGCCAGGCCCATTTCTAAATTTTCTTTCTTACTTTTATTCTTTTTATATTTCTTTTAATTATTTTAATTGACAATTAATTACTATTTTTTCATAAAATCATAAAATCAAGAAATCAAAAAAATTAGAATTAGACTTTTTTTATCAAAAATAATTTTGTTAATTTAATTTAATTAGTTTAACTTAGGGAAACTTTAACTTTTTTTTTATATATAATTAAAACTAATTACAAAATTAGGTTAAACTCTTGATTTAATTTTATTTTTCTCCTTTTCTCAAGTAAATAAAAATACAAAAATAGGTTTTA